CTCATCAACAAATACTACTGCAATTTTTCCTTTTAAAAGCAGATGACACTGGGCCGTAGTAGCTGCAGTATGTTTGTCTTTTGGAGAACATTCTGGTATTTGTTTCGTTTCACTGTCATTGTGTTTTCTGATGGTTGATGTTGGTTACAAAGGAGACTGCAAGGACTCTTTTTGAATAGCAGAATTTCTTAGGTGTTATCTAAATATTCAGGTCTTAAACCAGGAAGGATATGGGAGTCCAACACACATGTAAACGGAAATGAAGACAGCCTACACCTCATTTGGTAAAGGACTAAGAACAATTACTCTTTTCTCTTGAAGAAGCAACAAAAATATCATAGTACTGGCTTCTCACTGACTGCAAATCGCTCCTCAGAAGGGACATGGAGGTTCCTGGAGTGCCATATTTGAGCCATCATGTGCACTTGAACTGGATGCCATCAAATGATAATACTCCTGCAGCCAACATAGACCTCAGAATACACCAGATTTGATGTGCTGTTATCACTTCGTGTAACCCAGAACATGCTTGCAGGATGCTTCATGCTTTTCCCATTAGCTGCCTGCCTCCACTTGCTTCTTCGGCTTTATTTCCCCTGCAATGGTACTACAAACAGTCCTCTCATGATTAAGTTTTTATTTTCCATTACATTTTACTCTTGATTGGGTTTTGGAATCTCATCTCAGAGAGTTCTGTTCAAACCCTCTGCTTTTTGTTATGACTGACCCAGTCAAACACTTCTGAATTTTGGAGTGGCTCAGGATGCACACCATGATGCAGAGCTGTATTTCCTACCTACCCCCTCTCAGTAAAAGGGATTGAAACTTTGGGTAAGGATCCAGTTATATACTCCAGTGCCGCTCAAGCCCTGTGTTTGGGCCAGCACTTTTCTCTGACTTATACCAAGTGCTTTGCCAAAGATAATCATAATTATTTGCTAAAATCCTTTTATTTATCAATGTGCTAATTTAAGACAGTATATAAATAAATACACAGGCTCCACCACGGTACAGAGTATCTTAACTAAATGACCTATTTTGCCATGTGGTGGTGATTCATGAATGGCTGTTTCTGGCAAACTAATCAACTGTAGCTCCAGGCATGGGACAGCATAAGCTTCCAAAAGAATAGTTAACAGCTCCCCTTATACATGCTTGAGCCAGCTGCCATACATTGCAGTTTCCACGGAAAACAGAAATTTGGACTTGGATGAGTTGATTTGTATTTTATAGCTTAGAGCTTATAGCTCATATAAATCGTGCACACATTCCTCAACGGCACAGGCCTCCCTAATATAAAACCAGACAGAACCTTGTGTTGGTGTGTTCATACAGTGCGGCAGTGTTCAGATCCTGCAGGGGTTGAAAAGGAGCCCTTCTGTTGTCTCTGATTTTGTCCCTTTTCCATGCCTTCCCACTTCCCCTGTCCTGCTGCGGTGGTTATGTTACAGCTCTGCCTCTTTTGTAACCATACTCAGCATTTTCACTTTGGGGATAAAAGAGATGGTCTGTAGTAGCATTACTGGCAGCTAACAGACCACTTCAATTTGGGATTTTAACTAGTATTGTGCAGACACTGTATATTACATTACTGAAGAGCGTAGGAAACTGGCCAGCAGGGAGGAAGGTGGCCTTGCTGTGGTGGTGACACCAGATGAGGTTGGATCTCCTGAAGAGGGCAGGAGGTGTGGAGCTGGCTCTCCCCAGTGAGCACACAAGGGGAGCTCTCTGGAATGCAGAACCCTGCATGGGGAGGCTGGGGCTCAGAGCAGCAGGAGCAGGCTGACAGCCAAGTGCAGGACTGGTGGAAAGAAAGAAACATTCAGAAGGCTGGAAGTGCTGGGTTGAGTTTCTTCAGCTCAGGAAGGCAGGAAAGGTGCTGGGCTGATGCTGCCTGCAAGCAGGGAGAGGAGGGAGCTGCTCTTCAACATCTTTTAAGGATGTCTCATTCAGCAGGCCCAATGTCCTCCTATTTCTGTGTCACTTTGTTCTAGCTCATTGGTTTTGTGTTCTAACACTGCAAAGGGGCAGTGGCCACAAATGCTGAGGGAGATCAGAGCAGTCATCGGTGGTTTTGGGAATAAGCAATTCTCTTCAAGTAACAGTAAGGCTCTGTAACACTGCCCATTCTGTATCCAAGTCTGTTTCAGAAACAATACACTTGAGAAAGAGGGGGGTGACAAAAGATTAACTACAGGTGGAGAGGTTAGTTAGAAAGAAAGCAGGTGGTGAACCAGGAAAGGATAAAAGTACATGGAGGTGCCAGACTGTTCAAAGATAAAACCAGAGACTGGGACCTGCAGAGTCACTATAACCTTCCCATACAGCAATGAAAAACCTGAGACTGCGATATCTTTTGATGTAACTGGTTTATTAATCCTGTGTGTATTTCTCATGTGGCATGCGACATGTAAGGAGAGGCCGAGACTTGCTTTGCTCAATCACAAGAAGAGCAGGCTTGGGCTGGAGGAAACTGTGGGGCTGTCTGTAACTGATCAGAGGACACGGACTGTCTCAAAGATGCACCAATAGAACAAGTGGTGTATGTAAAATTCTGATCACATACAAGGAAACTATTTTCTTTAATCAGGAGGCTGATCAAACACTTGAACAGGATCCCAGAAAGGCTGAGCAACGTTCAGTCCTAGGGACACTCAGCCAGCAAAGCTGTGACCCACCTGGTGTAGCTGGATCCATTAAGCTATCTCCAGCAGCCCCTTCCAACCCGGTTTGTTCTGTGAATAACGCCCAAGCCATTGTCTTCTTCTGTAGTTTCTACAACACCTCATACAATACTGACAGCTTTCGTTAGAACAGGAACTTTTGCTCAGGAAACAGCTTGTGGTGGTCTTTGGAGAAACAGCCTCTGCAAACCTTATTTTACTTTTGCAATTCATTCTTTTTTAACTCTTGTTGCAGACAAGCTGTCCTGAAATACACAGCCAAACTGGAGAAACGAGAACACAGTGATGCTGACCCTCCTTCCTGGCTCGGATACGACCGGGATGGCAACATACTCACCTTCACCCAAACACATGCACTGGAGCCTGAACAAACAAATCCCTCAAACTGAAAAATGAAGAAATTGTGCAACATCTTCTCCAGTTCCAGGGTTTTCACTAGAGCACAAAAGAACACTCTATTGTTTTTATTAAAATTAATCATACTTGGTAAAAGGCTGTTTGCTGCATTAGGAAGAGAGCACCACAGATCTTTTTCACAGTCTGCCTCCAAGCAAGGCACTCGCACTGAAACAGCTTTGCTAACTTTCAGATCTCAATTTCAGCTGTCTTCATCTTCCAATAATGAGAACCTTTTGTAGTCCCCTGCAGTGAGCAATAACTACATCTGCATGTGTTTGGGGTTCTTGTTTGCCATGAGGGTCCTCTCCAGGACATAAACACTTTGACTCCCCACAGAACATCACACTTGACACAGCTGGTACTCATCAATACAGTGTTCCTGAGCAGAACAGTGCAGAGGTAGCGACTACCAGCTCCTCAGCACAGCTATGTGCGTGCATCTGAGCACGATTCGCTACATCTCAACCTGTGCACACAGAGCCCCAGCTCTCATAAATGCCCTTCAGCTGGGTTCAGGTCTCTAAGCAAGCCCACTTTCACACTTGCAGATCTGAACTGCGCTGGCTGGTGGCTGACAGAGGCAGGAGGATCAAACAAAGAGGAGCACAGGTAAGAAAAGTATTAAAGGAGAAGTTTTCTCCAGTTATGAGAACGTCTTCTCATGAAACAGACAGACAAAAGTGGGCACACATGGGATTTGCCATTCAAATCCTAATTACTGATAACCTACTGCTTATCCCTTGCCTGAAGAAAAATACTAAGTTTCACCTCACTAAAGCAGAACAAGACATTACTCAAAAGCCTGTGGGGAAACTCCCAAAGATTTGTCTTTCTCAGCTCATTCCTGACCTTTATGTAAAAGTTCTAGCTGGTCTCAACATTTATTAGCTTGGAAAGAATATAAGCAGAGCAGCACAATTTTTCTGACAGCTTATTTAAACTTCTTTCAGCAAGAAACTAACAATCCTGATGCTTAATTGCAGCTCATTTTACAATATGAATGCTTTAGCTTGCTTTCTTTTGAACATGGAAGAAATAACATGCTTTCTTACTGCACTCTCCCTTAGAACTGCTGATGCAGCTGTCCCAAAACGCACAAACTGAATCATAGGCTGACAGGCTTTGTATGCTGGGTGAGTAATGGAACCATTAAATGCATTTGATTTAGTGAAATCTCTACTAGACTGGTTTTATTTGTCGATGCTGTGTGATTTTAGAGGGGCTTCGCTCACTTTTGACTGCCGCAGTGCACAGAAATCATTAGTTCCAACAATTTGTCAGGAAATCTAAAACCATTACACATATATTAACTTTGTATCTTTTAGAAGAATAATGACAAGTAACTAGCAACAATGTATTGCTTTTAGTAATAATATTAGCCATGTGATATATATTAGTGTTTATATTAAAAATATACATTTGCCATAAACGTCTGTGCCCAATTTATTTGCACAAACAGTACACACAACAGCAAAGAACACTGGGGTTTTAACCACCCTGAATGAGAGTATAAATGCTGCCTTTGACTATTGAAGCCATTAGCTAGGGGCAATCACACCTCTTGGGGAATCCTGTGGAAACAGAGTTCATTTCATAATGTACCCTTATGGACTAAAGTACATACTCACATATACACAACTTAAAACCTAAGCCAACACTCTGAACTCCTCTTTGCTATGCTCAGTTGGCAGGAAATCCCTTAGTTTTAAACCACAAACTTCAGTACTACTTTTACAAGGTGCCATACACATGCATGGAAAGGCTTTTTAAAAGCTCCATTTACTTTACTGTGTGTTTGCATCGTGGTAACACAAAATCCTCCGCAAAAATCACACATGCCTCCTTCCCTCACATCCTTTCTCTGCCTCCGAGAGAGCTGACAGTCCCATCATGCCAGGCTGACAGTCAAAGGGAATGTAGCAAAGAAACGGATCACTGTTCTCATTTATTAGGCCAATACTTCCATTTTGTGGCAGCTTTTACCTGAAGGGAACAGTGATGTGGGCTCTTCCCTTACTCCAAACTTTTGTTTGAAAGTTACGAGTTTTTAAACTGCCATGGTGAGTGGTCAAGTTACACAAACCCTGAATATGTAAGATCCTGTTGTTCCTAAAAGGCACTAAAAGTGATCTGATAAGCACCAGCCACAGTCACGGGTAAATCTTGGGTGAAAGAACCCTCATTTTTAATATTATTTCTCTCTTATATCAAGAATATACATCAAAAAAGGTTCATAATTTTACAGAAATGTTCCTTTACAATCTCTTTGGCCTATTTCCCCTTTAAGAGCTCTTCAGCTTGACAGACTGGATCCAACTTTGGCTTTTAAGACACACTTTGCCATTTTGTGTGTCAGCCTTAATCCACCTGTCTGTTTCATCCCGTTGATTCATGTGACCTGGAAAAGAAAACCCTGTTCAGTTTAATTTGACACACAAATAAACATCATCTTCACAGTGCCATTTTTCCAAGCTCCCTGGAAATAGTTACATGACTTTTATTTAATAAAATTAATGTATTTTTAACAGGGGCTTCTGACATTTCATTCTTGATGCAGTTTTTCTGCATTAATACAATTCCCCATTATTTTTATTTCAGTAAAGTTGTGGAGTTTATTACATAGTTCTGTAGTTTTTGCTATGGGCTGGAGGCCAGGTGCCCACCAAAGCTGTTCTATCACTGCCCTCCACAACTGGAACAAAAGGCTGGTGGGTCAAGATAACGGCATAGAGAGATCACTCACCAGTTACTGCCATGGGCAGAACAGATGTGACTTGTGGAAATTAATCTATTACCAATCAAATCAGAGTTGGATAATGAGAAATAAAATCAGATCTTGAAAACACCTTCCCTCCTCCCAGGCTCAACTTTGCCCCAAAATTTTCTATCTCCTCCCCACCAGCAGCACAAGGCTGATGGAGAATAGGGGTTGTGGTCAGCTCACCACACGCTGTCTCTGCTGCTCCTTCCCCCTCAGGGGAGGACTCCTCATATTAGACATTAATCTCACTAAGTAATTTGAAGTTTTGATCCTCATTATAAACACAGAAGAAAGACAGGGGTTAGACCTGGTTTTCCAGATGATCAGACATGTTGTTACTATTACTGCTTTCACCCGGAGCTATCTGTTTTCTCACATTTCACACAAACTTAGTATGCATGGTCATGCTCTGAAAAGCTCATAATGTAACAGACAAAGGAGGAAGTTCAACTTACCCTCATTTTACAATTAAGAAACTGAGGTCAAGAAAGACTAAACGACCTTCCAAATTTATCCAAAAGATTTATGACCAAATTGGGAATTAAACTGGATCTTTTAAGTCCCAAATCGGTGCCTTTATCACAAGATCAATCTCCACTTTGGTTTATCTTCACAAAATACCACTTATTATTACTTTAGTGTTCATGTGACTGAGTGAATTCTAAGTTTAGAACTAATTTCAGCCTGGAATAGCATAAGGGATGGCAGGAAAGCAGATTCTGAAGCAACTTCGCAAACATGCTCTGCTCTGACCCGTAACACAGCTGAAGTTAAATTTTGGCCACATCAAAACAGTGGCGAAACTCCAACTGACATCACTGCATTAGTTTCCACAACTCCAGCCTTTGTGCCAGAACCTTCAATAGCGTTTCAGTATTTTGGTACTTCTAAGTGGGATTAATTTAAGGTTATGGTCCAAGCCCACATCAATTCACCAGCAGGCTGAGGTACCACTTAGAAGTATGAGATTTTCAGAGTCCAACACTGATCAGGTTCTCTCACTGAATGAAGAGGTATTTCAGTGTCTGTTCTTATCAGACTACAACATGCCTTCAAGGATCTACATGGAGATGTCCTAGTACAACTTCTGTGCTCCCAATTGCTGCAGGCAGCAGCAGCCCCAATCACACACAGTCTCACAATCATTCCTACTGTAAGGCAGAATCCGTAGTTCCACTCCCTGCCTAATTCAACCTATGGTGATCATCATTAAGTTGGATGGGAAAATGGATGACCCGGGGAATTACAGATCAGTCAGTCTCACCTCTGTACCTGGCAAAATCTTGGAGCAGATTCTCCTGGAAGGCATGCTAAGGCACATGAAAAACAACAAGGTGCTTGGTGACAGCCAGCATGGCTTCACCAAGGGGAAATCCTGCCTGACCAATTTGGTGGCCTTCTATGATGGGGCTACAGAACTGATGGACAGCGGTAGAGCAGTTGATGTCATCTACCTGGATTTGTGAAAAGCGTTCGACACTGTCCCACACGACATCCTTGTCTCTAAATTGGAGAGACATCAATTTGATGGATGGACCACTCGGTGGATAAAGAACTGGCTGGATGGCCGCACACAAAAAGTTGTGGTCAATGGCTCAATGTCCGGCTGGAGACCAGTAACGAGTGGTGTCCCTCAGGGATCGGTGTTGGGACCGGTCTTGTTCAACATCTTTGTTGGTTACATGGACAGTGGGATTGAGTGCGCCCTCAGCAAGTTTGCCGATGACACCAAGCTGTGTGGTTCGGTTGATATGCTGGAGGGAAGGAATGCCATCCAGAGGGACCTTGACACGCTTGTGAGGTGGGCTGATGCCAACCGCATGAAGTTTAACCATGACAAGTGCAAGGTCCTGCACGTGGGTTGGAGCAATCCCAGGCACAGCTACAGGTTGGGCAGAGAAGAGATTCAGAGCAGCCCTGCGGAGAAGGACTTGGGGGTGTTGGTCGATGAGAAAATGAACATGAGCCGGCTTCAGAGTGCGCTCGCAGCCCAGAACGCCAACCGTATCCTGGGCTGCAACAAGAGAAGCGTGACCAGCAGGTCGAAGGAGGTGATCCTGCCCCTCTACTCTGCTCTCATGAGAGCTCACCTGGAGTATTGTGCACAGTTCTGCTGTCATCAACATGAAAAGGACATGGATCTGTTGGAACAAGTCCAAAGGAGGCCACGAGGATGATCAGGGGACTGGAGCACGTCCCCTATGAAGATCGGCTGAGAAAGTTGGGGCTGTTAAGCCTGGAGAAGAGAAGTCTGCGTGGAGACCTCATAGCAGCATTCCAGTATCTGAAGGGGGCATTTAGGGATGCTGCGGGTGGACTCTTCATTAAGAACTGTAGTGACAGGTCAAGGGGTAATGGGTTAAAACTTAAACAGGGGAAGTTTAGATTGGATATAAGGAGGAAATTCTTTCCTGTTAGGGTGGTGAGGCACTGGAATGGGTTGCCCAGGGAAGCTGTGAATGCTCCATCCCTGGTGGTGTTCAAGACCAGGTTGGACGAGGCCTTGGGTGATACGGTTTAGTGTGAAGTGTCCCTGCCCATGGTAGGTGGGTTGGAACTTGATGATCTTAAGGTCCTTTCCAACCCTAACTATTCTATGATTCTATGATGAATGCCTGGTACATGAAATCTGGTAAAATCTGAAACTTCAGTTCCTCAGAAAGTTTCCCTGGCCCATCAATTTGCAATGGTATTGCATCAGGAAATACAGAACAGAAATGAGAACAACATCTGTCTTTTAAGCAGAGGTAACCCTTAAAACATTAGATCAGTTTGAATTTTAAACAGGAAATAGCCCCCAGGTGTCAAAAAAAACCCCAAACTAACAAAGAATTGTAAAGGACAATTTCATCTGATCCCTTAACAGAGTTGTAGGGCACTGAAAGTACGGCTTTTCTTTCTATGGAAAGAGGACACAACCAATGTTTTTCCAGAAAGCATACACTGGAGTGCTTGGTCCCAGTTTCCCTCTCTCATGTCTTTGTCACTATGGCTTGTATTTCCATACAAGGAACAAACCCTGAAGCACAGTTAGCCCTGTATATGAACACCTTCACACACTGCTTATACCCTGTCTAAAAAGTTAAGGCATTCTGAAGAAACACAGGCACAAATTAACATGAGCTGTTGTGAAGCTCAGTTGGTGTCTGAGCTCTGTTTCTCATTTTGCATTTGCTGTGTGAGCTTAGGAAAATGTTTTGTTCCTTATGTTTCTTCTTGGAGATTTGCCTGTGAACGAAATGCAGAAAAACATCAAACTACAGGAAAGTCAGTGTCAAGTTCCACTCCCCAGGGATTAAGATCTTCAAACTAGTTTAGGTTGTTACACTTATCCTCAGTAGCAGATCAAATCAAGTTTAAGGTATTTAAGTAACTTTGTGTCTGAAGTACTAATCAAGCAAAAAGTTTGGAGAGCTGTTGATGACAGTTTGGTTTTAACTGTACTCACTGCCTGTACCCTGAACACTGTGGGAACATGAGTGGATTCTGAGGATCACTTTGCTAGCATGATTAAATCACAAAAGCCAACTGCCTGCTGGCTTCAGAAGGGGGGGATATCAAAATAAATACAGGATTTAATTTCAAAACCAACCAGTTAACACAACAAATGTGAGCTCAGGACAAGACGGATGCACCACTCTGCCGCATAGTCAGCTTTTTCATTTGTTTCGTTTTTAGGGGGGGTGTATGTGTGTCCCCTTCCAGTACGTGTCGGTGTCTAAAGGCAGAGAACATCTTTAGAGAACTTTACATGGGCAAGTACTGACTGTTTATTCACTTCTCTTCCCAGAGATTAGAGAAGTTAAGGAGATCTTTATTTTCATCTACTAAAACACACAGAGTGCAGCCCATTTTACATGTTGTTCACTGGTGTTGTTAGGACTGTGGTATCTCTCAAAAAGCCTGTGAACAGCTTGAGTTAAATGCAAGCTGAAACCAATAAAAATCTGTAGGATAGCATCTCATCTCATGTGTTTTATAAAAGTTGGATGAACTTGCTATTTGACTTGAAGGAATGTAATCTTTTCCAGATAGAACCTGGGTCTTTGTTTGTTTTTTCAAGATACTGCTTAAGGATCAAGGCTGCACAGAGGGACAATGTTTAACGGGACACTGTAAAACAAAGCTCTTCCCACTCAGCTCTAGTGGCAAAGAGTCAACAAAAATTGCTTCTAGGAAAGAAGGAAAGTTCGGAAGTGCCTTGAGAAAACAGGGAGGGACATGATAATGGATAGCGTTACTTGGGGGATCAGAACCGTAACTGAATGCGAGTCAGCTGCACAGTGGGAGAGGAGAGCTGCACTTGGACAGCTGTTACAGTTCAGAAAAGACTTAGGTTTCAGCAGACTGACAATACAAGCTCAGTTATTTCCCTTTTAAAGGCAAGCTGTTTGCCTCACATTACTCACTGCCCCTTCAGCTTTATATTTAACCCTGGCACTCCGTGTAGCTAAACACACAAATATTACCTGAAAGGAAACAATAGAGAATTTCTGATAACAAAAGCACATAAACACACCCATAAAACTTTGCGCGTTGTACACGAGACTTCAGCATGCAGCTCCCTGTTTGCACACTGGCTTTGAAGCAATCCTAAAGGATAAGTCCACAGTACTTTGTAGGCCACATTCCCAGTA